GCTCCTACCGTAGAGCAGGACAAAGAGGGGGAAGTAGGCGTTGCAGTGCACGTCAAAGGCATACAGCCTGCACAGCCGTGAGTGGGGCATGGTGCACACAGGTCAAGGTGGAGAGGTGCAGGTGAACAGGGGGGGTTGGCTGAACAGCCATGAATCGCCATATAATCGCATGGATTCGCATGATAAAAAAGTGAGGGCGTCGAATGGTGTGGCTGCAGAGTGGGATGGCATGCGTGACGACATGGTGCATGACTGGCAGCACATGGCTTTGCGTGATGCATGCATACCCTGAAACCAATACGCCATACCCCATGTCCCCCACATGTCCCCCACATGTCCCCCACATGTCCCCCACATGTCCCCCACATGTCCCACACATGTCCCCCACATGTCCCCCACATGTCCCCCACATGTCCCCCACATGTCCCCCACATGTCCCCCACATGTCCCCCACATGTCCCCCACATGTCCCACACATGTCCCCCACATGTCCCCCACATGTCCCCCACATGTCCCCCACATGTCCCCCACATGTCCCCCACATGTCCCCCACATGTCCCCCACATGTCCCCCACATGTCCCCTGCCCCCTGCCTCACCACTCCACCTTCTGCTCCACTGCATGTGACGCCACGCCCCCAGTGTCCCTCAGATACCGGTTGCACACAAACCTGGTGGCGGGAGGGAGGGAGAGCAGGGGGGCATGTGGGGGGGACATGGGGTATAGCGTATTCGGTTTGAAGTATGCTCCTTCTGCTCCACTGCATGTGACGCCACGTCCCCAGTTTTCCTCAGATACCGGTTGCACACAAACCTGGGGGCAGAAAGGGGTGAGTGGGGGCAGGTGCGAGAAGTGAGGGGAGGGATGAGGGACGGAGAAGAGAGGGGATGAGCAGGGGGAGAAAAGGAGCGGGAAAAGGTGGGAATGAGAGAGGATGGGAGGGGATGAGAGAGGGATGGGAAGGGGATGGGAGAGGGATTGGGAAAGGATGGGAGGGGATGAGAGAGGGATGGGAGCAGGATGGGAGGGGGATGGGGAGGGATGAGAGAGGGATGGGAAGGGGATGGGAGGGGGACGAGGGGGGTGGGAGGGGGATAGGAGGGGGATGGGAAGGGATGAGAGAGGGATGTGAGGGGGATGGGAGAGGATGGGAGACGAGAGGAGAGGATGGGGGAGGGATGGCATAGGATGTATGCATTCTATGCATACTTACAGTTGGCTATGCGGACATGTCACGTGTGTATGCAAATGCATGCATATGATTGTATGTGTGACTGTGCGGAGTGAGGTTGCATGCGTGGGATGTAAGGGTGCGTGCATGCGTGCAGGTGCACGTATACATGCACATGTGAAAGTACCAGCAGAGAGTGGCGATGGCAGCACCAATGAGAAGGAAGTCAAAGACCACCACTGAAAACACCGTCAGACCCGCCTGGGCTATGCCATGCCCGTACCTGCATGCACGCATGCACGCATGCACACATGTACCCAACATGCACGCATGCACACGAACATGCATTCGGATTGTCACATAGGGGCATGCATGGGCACACGGACACATCATGGATGCAAGTTGCGGATAGAGAGACGACTTTTGAGGCGCCTAAAAAACGGATGCGAGCATATCATGCACACATATGGGAGGATGAACGGCGGGACGGACGGAAGAGGAGAAGGATGGCAGGAGAGAGCATATCATATCACAAATGATGCATGGAGGGACGGACGGAGGAGGAGAAGGAGAGACGGAAGGAGGAAGGCAGGCAGAGAGGGAGAGAGACCGGGGGTGTGTGAGACAAGCTCGTGGTCGACTGCCTGCCTCTCTCCGTCTCATACAGCTAGTGGTCACTATATGTGGAAAAGGGGGAGAGGAGATGACACAGCAGAGCATGCACGGGCGCCCTATTGCATAGCACACACGTGTGGAACGGCAAGGCATCCCATCCCACGCCACCCCATCCCACTCCATTCCATCCCACCCCTTCCCAACCCACCCTATCCCACACCAAAACTCCCCATCCCATCCCACCCCACCCCACACCACCCCACCCCACACATCCCACCCCATCCCACCCCATCCCACCCCACGGCATACGCAACACAGTAGGAGCTGGCGGAGATGGCGAGCAGCATGGCGGAGATCACCACAAACGCGGGGTCGTCCCTCGCCCACTGGTTCTTCGTCTCTGCTCGGCGCGCAGGGGGGAGGGCGGGTGGGCGGAAGGAAGGGGGTGTAGAGAGGAAGGGGGTGAAGGGAGGAAGGGGGTTTAGGGAGCAGCGGAAGGGGGGAAAGGGGGAAGGAGGGGGGGGTTGGGAGAGGCGGGGAGGGAGAGCAGGAGGAGAGCATGCGGGTGAGGAAAGTAAAGGGATGGCAGTTGGGGACGAAACGAGGCAAGAAGGGAAGGGCAGAGAGGGGCATTGCGGGAGGGGTGGGCGGCATGAGAGGCATAAGAGGGGACAGGGGGACATGGGGGACACGGGAGGGGGAGTCTCATGGATGGCCACGGGGGTCATAAGCGGACATGGGCGGGCATAGGGGGGATGAGGCGAACTGAAAGTATGAAGCGCGAGGCACGAGGGGGTAGGAGACGAGGAGCAGGAGGGTTGAAGGGAAGGAGAGCGGAACCGGGGGGATGAAAGCAGGGGGGCGGAGGGCAGTGGGGAGGAGGTGGGGGGGGGGGGGGGGGAGAGCAGGGGGGGAGAGGAGAGGGATGGAACTTACGTTTGTGGTACTTGGTGTGTTGGTAGCTGGTGGGGGGTGCAGCGAGAACGGGTACAGGAGACGGGGCAGGGGAACATGGGAAAGGGTTGACGGGAATGAGATGGTGAGGCCGCAGGTGAGGGTGCATGGTGGGAGGAGTTGATCGCCGGGGATGAGGGTGTGAGATGCAGAAATAGAGACAGAGAGTGTGATTGTCGTTTCAAATACCTCTCGTGCCAACACTCGTGTTAGTGGTGGCACGAAGTGAACGGAACGGCGTGCGTGGGAAAAGTGCGTGCGAGCGTGCGTGCGTGCGTGCGTGTCAAAGGCACGTACACGACGCGCGGCGTGAGGCAGAGGTGCAGCATTTGCCAGAAGCAGTACTCCGCGTCCATCTGCTGCCACTGCGCGCCCGCGAATCACGGCGGCGGGAGCGGCGCATCAGGAGGGAGGGGGCCCGACGACGGTGGCGCATGCGCGGGCGTACGGGAGCAAATGACAAATCAGAGTCACTTTTGAGAATTCTTAATTGGCAGGAAAAGAGATTTTGACGGCGGCGAAGCAAAAAGTGGGGGTGGTGAGGGGTCGCGAGAAGAAGAGCGGGACGGGGAGTGAGAAGGGGGGCGGGGGGAGGGAGGGAAGAGAAACGGCCTGTTTCCACGTGTACCTTAACAATTCGTCGCAGGTATTGCGGCAGGCTGGACTGCTGCCGAACGGGCCCCGGACGGCTGACTCGACCCATAGTGGGTAACATGGTGGCGGCGGCGCGAGCGCGTGTTATGAATCGATTGTAAACACGGAGGGAGAAGGCGAGACGGGGTGCGACGAGAGGTAGGAGAGGAAGCGGAAGGCGGGAAGGAAGGCGATAACGATACGATACGATACGATGACGCCTACAACGCCTGGGAAAATGATTGTCGCGCGTGGGCCGACAATCGAGCTCGGTTTACGGATTAGTGGCAACACGTCGAAAGAGAAACGCGATCGCAGGATCCGCTTTATTGGACGGCGCCGCGGTTGAGGTAACGACGGAACTTGCCGGGCCGCGAGCATGCGAGAGGTTCCTAGCGTGGTAAGAACATAAATTGTCACGCTGGAACTTATGATGCCGTCTGTCGCAGGTCGCGAAGCAAACGTGACTAAGGAAATTTAGGAACTTGCCGGACGATACCCGAGATCTGTGCAGAACGCTTAAATCTGCTGCTGGAGCAAAGTACAACACGACATCCTCGCTGCAGTCATACCGTGAACTGTTGGCAATCACGTGCATAGACATCCAATTTCTCAAGCCCTACTAACTTTTTGACACTAACGAGGAATTTCAACTTGTACAATATTCTCAAAGAAGTGTACTTATGACACACTTGAACACTTCGGATTACTCCTCTAACTATATTTACTCCGAGTTTCCAGCCTCAGCGTGCTTGACTGGAGAGGGACCATCTGGAGGGGTTCATTGGTCAGTTTGGGGATACTATCGAAGGACGTCGCGGACCGCATCTGGGACCTATGCCTTGCGTGGGACGTGAGCGCGATGAGATTGGAGTGAGTGGGACCGCTTGACCATTGGAGTTGATGGCACCAGTCCCTTCTCGACAAGCCCTGACATGCTTCCGTGGACGAGCCGCCAGGAGGAGTGGATCTCAGGGTGTGTTTTGTTTCACTCCACTCTCCCTTTTCACAATTCAAGAATCTCCTAGCTGAGTGTGCTGGTTGGTGTTTAGCGAACTTCTCTGTAAAGAACACCAATGATAGAACCTCTCGGTTCCCACTCTCGGGTCCAACCCCGAATCAAGATAGCACGTGAAATTCACGCCGAAAGAACCAATATCTCATTTTCCCCCGCAAGACGCGCCACGTAATTACCCTGGCGCATCCCCCATTCGTCCATCCTGCTAAAATCGGGGGCTGTCAGACAAAGAATCTGACAGTTGTGCATCCAAGGGCAGCCAACAACGCAAACCAGCCCTTGTCGTGTGGCGGCGAGCGTGTCCCTCCCCTCCCTCGGCCCAGGCTCCCCCAGCCCCAGCCCAACACGAAGCCTGGAGGGGCAAATATGCAATCGCCTGCCTCGTGCAATTAGTGCGTGAACTACCAAACACTTTCGGCAGTTCGGCAGTTCAGAATGCAGCATTAGCAATCCCCGTTGGGACCCCCTGTCATGGCTGAGTTAGGCTCTGACAAGAGCTTCTAAGATCTTGGCTCGTGGTGTCTTTCCGGGAGTGACCCGCAATAGCAGCGGGCTGACGGCAACAACGCCAACTAGCTTGCTGACTGCCTAGTCTCCCTCGCGATGGGGATGCACCGACAATATGTGCCCCTCGACTCCACCAAGGGGTAAGAGCTATTTCCTCCCGCTTCCTTCTCCACCTGACGACCAGAGAAGCCCACTGCATTACCCTTCTTCGTGGTCTTCTGATGCTTTGACAAGAGTTATGCTGTTGTTGCAAAAAGCTTCAGTGACTTCCGTCCCTTCGTTTAGCACTAGCAGCTGTCAGGCAGATCTAGTCCAATGAACGCGCCACCGTTTTGCGTTCACAAACCTTACGTTAACCAGAAACGGATCTGAGCAAATAAGAACCAAGACAGGAGGCCACAATGAGATTTAGCAAGTCTTTGCTGGTTAGTCAACCTCAATGGTCCATATTTCGTTATGTTTCCCCCATATACATTCCGAGCGGGCCATGTACCTCGCAGCAGTACATGCTCTAGCCTTGTCGTTTTTTCAAAACTTCTGCTACACACGACCCGTCTTCCCGCTATCTCCCCCACTTTCGCATTCGGCTCAAACGCATCATTTCTTTCATGTACCCCTGTTCGTCTCCCTCCTCCCCTCTCCCAGGGGCAAGTCCTCCGCTGCAGTGCTGGTGGTGGCGATGATCGGCAGTGTCGCCATCCTCGTTATCTCCGTGTTCATCGGCGTCAAGCTCGCGCAAATGCAGGGCATGGAACCACCGCCACCGCCCGCGAAGCTTCCGCCTCCACCCGTGAACGTCACGATCACGTCCAAGATCCAGATGGCCCTCATGTTCCTGCATTCGCAAAAATGTAAGTTCTTTAAGTGACGCATAGATCTGAAACGAGCAAGGTGTCTCCGAAAACATCCACCTCGCTGGTTGACGTGCTTGTTCGCTGCGCCTCGGCGCCATAGAAAACGGTCTAGATCTACTTTTGCTCACTCAGGATCAGCGCATACGTACTGATTATGTGGCACCCCGCACTTGTCGCATATGCTTGACCTCATCCGTTTCGCCGTCCCACGTGCTTTCACCCTCTCACCTGCAGCGGGCAAGCTCGACCCGGACTTTCCCGTCACGTGGCGAAGCGACTCGGGTTTGCAGGACGGGCGGGATCAGAACCGAGATCTTCGAGGCGGTTACTACATCGGCGGGAGCAACATCAAGTACCACTTCCCCATGGCGTATACCGTGACCATGCTGTGCTGGGCGCTGCTGGAATACGAGTCCGTGTTCCGGCTCGTAAATATGCACAACGAAATGGCGGAGCTTATTGACTGGGGTGTACAGTACATCCTCCGTACAAGATACGAGGACCTCATTTTTGCTCAGGTAAGGCCACGCGACCCACTCCGATGTACTTTTTCAACTGGTCCTCTTCATTCACACCGAAGCGTAACATGTACTGTATTAAGAAAACGGGAAATGAAAGTCAAATGTACATGTATCTGTATCTTTTTCCGCATATGTCGGTGTTATCTAGGTGGGCACGCCCGAGATCGACGACGTGTGTTGGATCCGGCCGGAAGACATGAGGCCCGCGCAGCGCCCCACCATGTTCCCCTGCGACATCGCGCATCCCTGCTCCGACCTCGCTGGCGAGTACGCCGCCGCGCTCGCTGCCGCATCGCTCACCTTCCGCGTTGGCAACCCCTCTTACGCGGACGTTCTTCTGAGAAACGCGGCGGAGATTTTCGAATACGCGGATCAGTACCGCGGGAAGTACAGTGACTGGGTCGAAGCAGCGCAAACGGAGTACAATTCTACCGGGTATGGCGACGAGCTCATGTGGGGCGCCACGTGGCTGTACTTCGCGTCGGGAGATTCAAAGTATCTGGACTACGTGGTCGGGCCAAACTCGTACATCTTCGAGACGAACCAGTGGGGTCCGGGCACGAAGACGTTCGACTGGGACAACAAGGCGCCCGGCGTGCAGGTAAGCTGGTGGGAATTTCATTAGACAATCCCAAAAGTTTAGTGCGATTCCTGCTGCAAATGCGTCCGTTTCATCTCATGCGCACATGTCCAGGCCGTGGTGCGATTCCAGTCGCGCGTTTTCCAGGCGCCGCCGCACAGTTTGCTCACTCGCTCTCTCCCCTTCGGTGGGTCTGGCTGTGCAGGTGCTGATGACGCGGCTGCTAATGCTGGGGTACGGGGCGGGCAACGAGGGGCAGATCCCGCAGTACCTGCAGACGTACCTCAACGCCGCGAAGCTCTACGTGTGCCAGCACACGCCGCACTGGCTCCACGCCAACTTCACCGACAGCGGTACGTCTCCCTCCTGCCGGCCCCAGTTTTATCTGTGTGTCTGTCCGTGTGTCCTTAATACACTTGTTGAACCGTCACCCAACAATCAGTTCCTAGATTGCGGCAGAAATTAATCAAACTGAACTATACGAGTTGGGACATGGTGCAAATGTTGCCTCTATGCGCGGAGAGATCTTGTGTTTTGAATTGCATTATGACCATTGTCGCGCTATTGCCTGCTGCTCTCTCGACGTGGGCGTGCAGGCGGGCTGATCTACGTGAGCGACGACCATCCGATCCAGTACGCGGTGAACGCGGGGTTCCTGTCGGTGCTGGTGAGCGACTACCTGCGCATCGCCATCAACGCCAACGTCTCCTCGCACTACCTCGACTGCGACGCCACCATCGATGACATCGTCGACTTCGCCGCCTCGCAGGTGCGCCACCCACCACGCGGATTTGCAGCCCGGGCAGTCTGTAACCAGCATTGGGGTTGCTGCTGACGCTTCACTAAGTTCTGTGCTAGAAGTGAGGGCTGTTCGCGAGACAGCTTTCTTCACCGGACATTTCTGCTGTAGTGTGTCCTCAGGCTCCGCAATCAACTTGCTGGTTCCTTCCCGCCTTCGTCATTACATCCTCACCTGTGCAGGTGAACTACATCCTGGGCGACAACCCCCAGAAGATGAGCTACATGGTGGGCTTTGGCGACAACTACCCCACGCGCGTGCACCACAGAGCCGCCTCCATCACGTCTCGGCATGTGGACCCCACGGCCTTTGACTGCGTCACAGGCCGCAAGTTCAAAAAGTGAGTTGATCCACCCGGTTGTTACTTTAGAAAACCTGAAGCGCCCGTGACATGGTGAATCGCACAGCCATTACCCTGGAAAAACATTGCAGGATTGTCCAGCTGCGCACTAAATCCACATGGGAAATCCATCCGCCTTCTCAGACTGAACAAATATGCTGTATCTCACCAAGTGTTCCACTGTCCTTGGTTCCCTGTGCCTCAGGTCCAAGTACCCAAACCCTAACGTGCTGGTGGGAGCAATCGTGGGCGGTCCAGGCCGGGACGACTCATACCTGGACGACCGCACAATCCCCCAGCAGAGTGAGCCCCTGCTCTACGTCAATGCTGTCTTTGCCGGCCTGCTCGCTAGCCTGGGTGCCTTCCGCAGCGGCAACAGCCCGGGCAACTCGCTCACGCGCATGTGGGCGCAGATTCCCTGGGCCAAGAAGTATGCCGAGTCCCTCGAGGAGCTCATTCCCAAGCCCTACCCCTCACCTCCCAAGCCGCCCGTCTCCCCACCCCCCTGGAGGACCCCTCCCCCGAAGGCCCCCAAGTTCCCCCCCAAGCGGAATGGCCCCAGCCCTCCCCCTCCGTATGTCAACCCTCCACCTCCTTCTCCTCCTCCCCCAAGCCCCCCTCCTCCGCGCCCTGTCAAGAAACACACTGCCCCTGCGCCGCCTCTCTTTTACAAGGGCCAGGGGAAATACAAGGCTCCGGGTGGTGCAGATCTCCCCACTGCTCCTGCTGCGCACACTGCTCCTGTGAAAGAGATTCCAGCCACGCTCACGCCTGTTCCGGATCCAGCGGCTGGTGCTGCCGGTTCTGCAGGGGATGGCCTGCCGGCAGGGAACCCTAACGTGTTCCCCTGATTTTGCGGTGTAGTTCATGGAAATAGGTCTGTAGTGTAGGTCGGAAGGCCTTTCATGCGACATGTTTGATATAGGTGACTCTGTGGTGCTGAGCTTTTCAGCTGAATAAAAGCTCTGATTTTCATACCTTGTGAGCATGTTTGATTCAAAATAGAGATGATGAAATAATAATTCATCAGCCTCCACAAATTTCTTTCACTGTGCCTTGCCGAGGCGTTTCAAATCGAGGACGTACCGCAACCAATTGCCTAGCTTGTTCTGGCGGCAGTCTCGATGGTGCCGTAACTCGTAGCTCGTTCACCACCGCAAATCTCAATTTGGGCGGGAGGGACTTGGGACGGGACGGGACGAGACGGACGAGACTTTTTTTTTTTTTTTTTTTTTTAATGATAATTGGTTGAGTACAGGGCCTCAGAAGTCAGCGAAAAAAGGCTGATTAGGGGTAAAAAGGCTGAGATTTCAGTGCTGGGAAGAAAGGGGGGCTGATTTGTCAGCATTTTTTTCATTGTACCGGCTTATTTTTCAGCATTTTTTTCATTGTATGGTCTGAAATTTCAGAGTTTTTTTAGAGGTGTAAACTGACTGATCAGCGTTGTAACGGGTGTGTGGGCTGAAATCCCACTAGTGGAGATTCGTGCAGTGCCGAGAATCAAAAACCTGCCTGGCCAATCAGATGGCACGAATGTGCAATCTAGTTTCTGGTTTCTGGATGCAAGTCTTACAGCTTGACTCGTCACTACAGATTTGCCCGAGACAGCAAATTCGCCCCTACAGAACAGATTCGCCCTGTCAGAGCCACAACGATTTCGCCCAATCAAAAGAATTTTTGCTCTGACACAACACGTTCTTCCAGAAATTCGCCCAATCACTGGAAATTAGCTCGGATTCGCCATGTTGTTGCCGATAGAAGGTACTGTATCTTCGTGTGTGAAGCTGTGTAGGCACGTCGTGTGCACTGTTGGCAGCACGTCGCGTGTTGCGCTATAGGAAAGCATGAAGTTGTGTTCAGCCTTTGTTTTTAAGCAAGGCTGAATGATCAGCCAATTTTTGAAACTAAGCACTGAAATTTCAGCTTTTTTTTTCAAGGCTACCCTGATTAATCAGCCTTCATCCCACTCCCAAGGTTGACGATTCAGCCTAGGCCAAAACGAATCTGAGGCCCTGGTTGAGTACACCGAAAGAGCAAGTGTACAACACCAAGAACGGTCGTAACCGTGCGTGGGGGGGCAGGGCAGACCCTAACCCCGAAACAAAAACACACTAGGGCACGTTGGGACCCGCCCTCCGAGGCGACCACAAAGCTGCAAACGCACTCGTCCACTTCCAACTGACATCGTCGTGTGTTATCCTCCGAAGCATGATCCGCTCCTTCTCATAATTACATCGCAACTGTTTCCGCCGCGCCGAGCCGAATTTCCGAGTGTAGATCCTTGCATGCTGCCTGAACGCAAAGGCAATCTTCCATAAAACCCTCTGCGTTCGGAACCTACCGCCACGAAACACCGCCTCACACCGTTCTATCCAGAGCTGATGGAAGGTGATGGCGGTGAGAGTCAGCTCCAGAAATGCTGAGCTGGTGCCAGTTTTCTGGAACAAAAGATCACCCAGCGTGTCAATCCTGCGGCCAGGATTCAGCATGCACAACGCACACCTGAGGGCCGAGGAAACCACCTGAACACATGGGCAGAGCAGGAGGCAGTGCTCCATTGATTCCGATTCCCCGCAGTATGGGCAGACAGGCTTGCTGCTGAGGAAAGCCAACCTCTCCCCGACTTGCAAATTCCAACCGTAGATTCTGATGAGAACATCCCGCGGACGGCTAGGAATCGACAGGGAGTCTCTAGTCGCAATTGCCCGCTTCCAGTCAATTGTCCCGCGCCACTTTTCCGCCCACTTCTGCTGCTTGTATGACTGCTCCTCAGCGCCACGCCAGCCCTCCTTCATCCGCCTCTCAGACACAACCCGGCCCCCTTCCACCACCACCAGCCTCTGGGGGGAGTCAGCCGAGCAGGGAGGGACAGTCGGAAAACCCAACAGACTCTGCGAAGCAGCAGGCAGAGCCCTCAGTGCCTTGAGAGCAAGCTTAGCCGGGCCGTTACCCCCCAGCTGCTGAGTTAACGCCGCCATGGTCTTTAGGTCCAGCTCCCCGTCAGACCCTTGCACCAGCAGATCACCCAGGTGAACCCCTTTCAGTCGCTGAGCATCCTGCTGCCCTCCGACCGGCGTGGTACCGTTTAGTAGAATCTTGCGATTAAAGAAAATTCTCTCCCGCAGCACTTCCTCCCTGCTGCCAGCTGGAGCCCGGATCCCAAAAGGAGACCGCATGAAAATCTCACACGTCTGCTTCCAGCGAATGCCACGACCGGACCAGTGCTTAATCAACTTCTCGTGCGCCTCGAAGGTATCCGCTCCGAGAGGGAGGTCCGCTGCCAGCGTCATGATCTCCTTCTTCAGCAGCTTGCGCTCAATAAGGAACAGCCCCACCCTCCTTGTGGCCAGACACATGATGATCATCTCTGGGTCCCTGACTCCAATCCCTCCGGCCGCTCTACACTTGAACAGCAGCTCATTACTCCAGAGCTGGAAGCCCTTCACTCCCGAGACCCTATTCTCGGAGATGAAGCCCTGAATCAGCCTCATCAGCTCTTCCCAGATGGTTGCCGGGGGCGAGTACACCTGAGCCTGAAAGGCGATTATCGGCGTGATATAACTGTTCACCACCGTCGCTCTTGCCGATGTTGTGAGGTATTTCTGCTTCCATTTGACTAACTTCCCGCTGATGTGCCCCAGCGCCTTTTCCCATGTCGGTACACCGCTGCCGGAGGGAGACACCCAGACGCCCAACAGCCTCTCTGCATCGTCCGCGCTGGCCCGCTTGAAGCCACACAAAGTACCGCCATTAACCCGAGTGTTAACACCCAAAGGTAAGACCACTGTTTTGTCTGCATTAGTCGCAAGCCCCGAGACCTTCTCGAACTCCGACAGCAACTGCACCGCTCTGACAATCTGCTGCTTCCCCTGCAGGACCGGCGTCGTGTCATCAGCGTAGCCCAAATAACCGAGCTGCCGCCCCGCCTCAGACAAGCCGAGCTTCCTTCGCTCCACCTCCTGCGCCAACGGCTCCACAGCGCACAGGAAAAGATAGGGCGCCAGAGGGCATCCTTGCCGAACCCCTGAGACCACCTCCATCCCCTCGCCCAGCCATCCGTTTATTAACAGCCACGTCTTCGTGTCTCTGTGCAGGCCCTCGACCCACCCCACGAATCAGTCAGGAAAGCCCATGCCGCGCAATACTTGAAAGAGAAAGCAGCGGGAGACTGAGTCAAATGCTTTCTGAAAATCGACCAGAAGCAGGTGCCAGTCCTTGCTTTCATTTCTTGCGGCCTCAATAATGTCCGCCACCAGGGACACCGCATCCGACAGCCGCCTGCCGGGGAGGAAACCGTACTGCTCCGGGGAGATGACCTGGTGCAACACCGTCTTCATTCGGTCCGCAATTACCCGCGCCAAAACCTTGTAAGTGAAGTTCAGCAAGGTGATCGGACGATAATTGTCGAGTTGATCTTTCTCTCATTTTTTGTGAAGCAGAATCGTCACTGCCTCCTTGATTTCGTCGGGCAGAGAAGACGATGCCTGGAAATCCCGTGCCATGGCCATAAAACTCCCCCCCAGCAGGTCCCAGTGGATCTCAAACAATTCCTTCGACAGCCCGTCACTCCCCGGCGACTTGTTGTTCGCCATTGCCGCGAATGCTCTCTTAACCTCCTCCTCCAACCGTGGTTCCACAGACCTTAAGTTCCGCGATCTGCGTCCTCGCTTTCCGAGCCCGGAATTTAGCGGAGAGATGCTTGGAGGCTATCTCCCCGGTGAGTTCAGCCGTTAAACCCGCTTGTAGATGCAGCTTATCCCGCCTAGCCGCATGGTACGCCTTTAGCTGCTGCTCCTTTTCCGCCAGCAGCGCCTTCTTCCTCCCGTAGCCTGGATCACCCATTAACTCCTGTTTTAAGACTGCAACCGCCCGATGCAGGTGCGCCAGCGTGGCCTTCACACACTTCCCCTCCTCCCTCGCGTAGGACCAGAGACCAACGCTCAGCCGCGACAGCAGAAGCTCGAAACTGCTACCGTCATTGACCGGTGTATGCCGCAGCGTCACCTCAATGACCTTCCGAACACCCGGCCTGCGCAGCATGGAAGCATGGAGCCTCCAGATACCCGGCCCCGTGCGGACCTTCGCATCCAGCCGAAACGCCACGTGGATAGCGAAGCCATGATCAGCAATAGGCTCCTTCGGCATCTCATGGGACGCCAATGACAGGTGAGGCAGCAGAGATTGAGAAACCAGCGCCCGGTCAATCCGTGAACTCTCCTGCTGCGCCGCTGAGTAAAACGTGTACTCTCTCTTGCGTGGATGCAGGACCCGGAACGCATCGGAGAGCTGGAAGCTGCAGCAACGCAGAAAAAACTTCTCGTTCTCCGACGACGAGCCGCAACCCGAGGTTTTGTCCATAGCGGGGTCCTCAACCAGGTTAAAGTCACCGATGATAAGAAGGTGAGATGATGAGGGGATCTGATCCACCACCGGGCCCAAGACATCCCGGAAGAAAAGTGTTCTCAAGGCCGGGTCCGCCGGGAAATAGACGGCTAAGAGCATGAGCTCCAGGCCCACCCCACCTACTGTGGTTCTAACTAATCTACCGGATGGATGCAGCAAAGTGTCCTGAAAGGAGACCAGCGGATTACGGCTGAGCAACGCAACCCCACCGGCTCTCGACAAAGGCGGAGGAGATGCGGCAAGTACTGAGGTGGAGGTAAGGCTTACGAGGGAGTTCCAGTAAGAGTGAGTTGAAGCTATCCTAGTGTCCGCTAAGATCATTATGTCCGCCGCTGATCCGTGCCAGTCTATGACTCGTTCCTGCTTCTTCCAGTCTCCCAGGCCGTTAACATTGACGGCCGCGAAGGTGAGGTGGTTTTTAAGATTCATTTAACAACCGACTTGCAGCCCCAGTTCATCCACAGGCTGGTAAGAGACATCGAACCGACAGATTTGACAGTTGACCACAAGCTAATCTCCACTACACACCCCTTCCCTCCTGAGCAGGCTAAAAACCGTACTCCTTCCGAATGGTGCTGGGATTCATCTTCTCGAGAGACAGCTTCGTGGCGGAGCCGAACTTCTCCTGGTGAAGCAGATGACTCGCCGATGCAATATGTTCCGAGGCCGCCAAGAAACTCTTCCCCTTCGCCTTCCCACAGGCAGACTGCGTGCAGAGCCATTCCTCCCTGTTTCCACCGACGGAGATCAGCGCAACAGCAGGATCGCAAAGAATAGGGAGGACCAGGGGGGACGCGAGAAGAGAAGCAGCTGCGAGAAGCCACGCAAGCGTCAGTAAAAGCAAGAAGGTGAGAGAAAGCGACCGTAGTATAGCGGAGAGCTCTGTCCTTCTATCACCCCGCCCCATTCTCCCGCTTTCCATCACCCCGCCCCATTCTCCCGATTTCAATCACCCCGCCCCATTCTCCTGCTTTCCATCACCCCGCCCCATTCTCCCGCTTTCCATCACCCCGCCCCATTCTCCCGCTTTCCATCATCCCGCCCCATTCTCCCTCCTTCCATCACCCCGCCCCATTCTCCCGCTTTCCATCACTCCGCCCCATTTTCCCTCCTTCCATCACCCCGCCCCATTCTCCCTCCTTCCATCACCCCGCCCCATTCTCCCGCTTTCCATCACCCCGCCCCATTCTCCCGCTTCCCATAACCCCACCCCATTCTCCCGCTTTCCATCACCCCGCCACATTCTCCCACTTTCCATCACCCCGCCCCCTTCTCTCTCCTTCCATCACCCCGCCCCATTCTCCCTCCTTCCATCACCCCGCCCCATTCTCCCGCTTTCCATCAGCCCGCCCCATTCTCCCGCTTTCCATCACCCCTCCCCTTTCTCCCGCTTTCCATCTCCCCGCCCCATTCTCCCGCTTTCCATCACCCCGCCCCATTCTCACGCTTTCCATCACCCCGCCCCATTCTTCCGCTTCCCATCATCCCGCCCCATTCCCCCGCTTTCCATCACCCCTCCCCTTTCTTCCTCCTTCCATCACCCCGCCCCATTCTCTCGCTTTCCATCACCCCGCCCCATTCTCCCGCTTTCCATCACCCCGCCCCATTCTCCCGCTTTCCATCACCCCGCCCCATTCTTCCTCCTTCCATCACCCCGCCCCATTCTCCCGCTTTCCATCACCCCGCCCCATTCTCCCTCCTTCCATCACCCCGCCCCATTCTCCCTCATTCCATCACCCCGCTCCATTCTCCCGCTTTCCATCACCCCGCCCTATTCTCCCGCTTCCCATAACCCCACCCCATTCTCCCGCTTTCCATCACCCCGCCACATTTTCCCACTTTCCATCACCCCGCCCCCTTCTTTCTCCTTCCATCACCCGCCCCATTCTCCCTCCTTCCATCACCCCGCTCCATTCTCCCGCTTTCCATCAGCCTGCCCCATTCTCCCGCTGTCCATCACCCCGCCCCTTTCTCCCGCTTTCCATCACCCCGCCCCGTTCTCCCGCTTTCCATCACCCCGCCCCATTCTCCCGCTTTCCATCACCCCGCCCCATTCTCCCGCTTTCCATCACTCCGCCCCATTCTCCCGCTTTCCATCACCCCGACCCATTCTCCCACTTTCCATCACCCCGCCCCATTCTCCCTTCTTCCATCACCCCGCCTCATTCTCCCTCCTTCCATCACCCCGCCCCATTCTCCCGCTTTCCATCACCCCGCCCCATTCTCCCGCTTTCCATCACTTAGCCCCATTCTCCCGCTTTCCATCACCCCGCCCCATTTTTCCTCTTTCCATCACCCCGCCCCATTCTCCCGCTTTCCATCACCCTGCCCCAATCTCACGCTTTCCATCACCCCGCCCCATTCACCCTCCTTCCATCACCCCGCCCCATTCTCCCGCTTTCCATCACCCCGCCCCATTCTCCCTCCTTTTATCACCCCGCCCCATTCTCCCGCTTTCCATCACCCCGCCCTGTTCTCCCGCTTCCCATAACCCCACCTTATTCACCCGCTTTCCATCACCCCACCACATTTTCCCGTTTTCTATCACCCCGCCCCATTCTTCCTCCTTCCATCACCCCGCCCCATTCTCCCGCTTTCCATCACCCCGCCCCATTCTCCCGATTTCCGTCACCCCGCCCCATTCTCCCGCTTTCCATCACCCCGCCCCATTCTCCCGCTTTCCATCACCCCGCCCCATTCTCCCGCATTCCATCATCCCGCCCCATTCTCCCTCCTTCCATCACCCCGCCCCATTCTCCCGCTTTCCACCACTCTGCCCCATTCTCCCTCCTTCCATCACCCCGCCCCATTCTCCCTCCTTCCATCACCCCGCCCCATTCTCCCGCTTTCCATCACCCCGCCCCATTCTCCCGCTTCCCGTAACCCCACCCCATTCTCCCGCTTTCCATCACCCCGCCAAATTTTTCGACTTTCCATCACCCCGCCCCCTTCTCTCTCCTTCCATCACCCCGCCCCATTCTCCCTCCTTCCATCACCCCGCCCCATTCTCCCGCTTTTCATTAGCCCGCCCCATTCTCCCGCTCTCCATCACCCCTCCCCTTTCTCCCGCTTTCCATCTCCCCGCCCCATTCTCCCGCTTTCCATCACCCCGCCCCATTCTCCTGCTTTCCATCACCCCGCCCCATTCTTCCGCTTCCCATCATCCCGCCCCATTCTCCCGCTATCCATCACCCCGCCCCATTCTCCCTCCTTCCATCACCCCGCCCCATTCTCTCGCTTTCCATCACCCCGCCCCATTCTCCCGCTTTCCATCACCCCGCCCCATTCTCTCGCTTCCCATCATCCCGCCCCATTCTCCCGCTATCCATCACCCCGCCCCATTCTCCCTCCTTCCATCACCCCGCCCCATTCTCTTGCTTTCCATCACCCCGCCCCAATCTCCCGCTTTCCATCACCCCGCCCCATTCTCCCGCTTTCCATCACCCCGCCCCATTCTTCCTCCTTCCATCACCCCGCCCCATTCTCCCGGTTTCCATCACCCCGCTCCATTCTCCCTCCTTCCATCACCCCGCCCCATTCTTCCTCATTCCATCACCCCGCCCCATTCTCCCGCTTTCACCCCGCCCCATTCTCCCTCTTTCCATCACCCCGCCCCATTCTCCCGCTTTCCATCACCCCGCCCCATTCTCCCGCTTTCCATCACCCCGCTCTATTCTCCCGCTTTCCATCACCCCGCCCAATTCTCCCTCTTTCCATCACCCCTCTCCATTCTCCCTCTTTCCATCACCCCGCCCCATTCTCCCTCTTTCCATCATCCCGCACCATTCTCCCTCTTTCCATCACCCCGCACCATTCTCCCGCTTTCCATCACCCCGCACCATTCTACTGCTTTCCATCACCCCGCCCCATTCTACTGCTTTCCAACACCCCATCCCATTCTCCCGCTTTCCATCACCCCGCTCAATTTTCCCTCTTTCCATCACCCCGACCCATTCTCCCTCTTTCCATCACCCCGCCCCATTCTCCCCCAATCCATCACCCCTCCCCATTTTCACTCATTCCATCACCCCTTCCCATTCTCCCGCTTTCCATCACCCCGCCCCATTCTCCCCCAATCCATCACCCCGCCCCATTTTCACTCTTTCCATCACCCCGTCCCATTCTCCCGCTTTCCATCACCCCGCCCCATTCGCCCGCTTTCCATCACCCCGCTCCATTCTCCCGCTTTCCAACACCCCACCCAATTCTCCCTCTTTCCATCACCCCTCCCCATTCTCCCTCTTTCCATCACCCAGCCCCATTCTCCCGCTTTCCATCACCCCACCCCATTCTCCCTCTTTCCATCACCGCGCCCCATTCTCCCTCTTTCCATCACCCCGCCCCATTCTCTCGCTTTCCATCACCCCGCCCCATTCTCCCATTTTCCATCACACCACCCCATTCTCCCGCTTTCCATCACCCCGCTCCATTCTCCCGCTTTCCATCACCCCTCCCCTTTCTCCCGCTTTCCATCTCCCCGCCCCATTCTCCCGCTTTCCATCACCCCGCCCCATTCTCCCTCTTCCCATCACCCCGCCCCATTCTCCCCCAATCCATCACCCCGCCCCATTTTCACTCTTTCCATCACCCCGTCCCATTCTCCCGCTTTCCATCACCTTGCCCCATTCTCCCGCTTTCCATCACCCCGCTCCATTCTCCCGCTTTCAAACACCCCACCCAATTGTCCCTCTTTCCATCACCCCTCCCCATTCTCCCTCTTTCCATCACCCAGCCCCATTCTCCCGCGTTCCATCACCCGGCCCCATTCTCCCTCTTTCCATCATCGCGCCCCATTCTCCCTCTTTCCATCACCCCGCCCCATTCTCTCGCTTTCCATCACCCCGCCCCATTCTCCCGTTTTCCATCACACCGCCCCATTCTCCCGCTTTCCATCACCCCGCTCCATTCTCCCGCTTTCCATCAACCCGCCCCATTCTCCCTCCTTCCACCAACCCGCCCCTTTCTCCCGCTTTCCGTCACCCCGCCCCATTCTCCCACTTCCCATCACCCCGCCCCATTCTTCCGCTTTCCATCACCCCGCCCCATTCTCCCTCCTTCCATCACCCCGCCCCATTCTCTCTCCTTCCATCACCCCGCCCCATTCTCCCGCTTTCCATCACCCCGCCCCACTCTCCCACTATCTATCACGCCGCCCCATTCTCGGCTTTCCAACACCCCGCCCCATTCTCCCGCTTTCCATCACACCGCCCCAATCTCCCGCTTTCCATCACCCCGCCCCATTCTCCCGCTTTCCATCACCCCGCCCCATTCTCCTACTTTCCATCACCCCGCCCCAAACTCCTGCTTTCTATCACCCTCCCCCATTCTCCCTCCTTCCATCACCCCGCCTCATTCTCCCGCTTTCCATCACCCCGCCCCATTCTCCCGCTTTCCATCATCCCGCCCCATTCTCCCTCCTTCCATCACCCTGCCCTATTCTTCCGCTTCCCATCATCCCGCCCCATTCCCCCGCTTTCCATCACCCTGCCCATTCTCCCGCTTTCCATCACCACGCCCCATTCTCCCTCTTTCCACCACCCCGCCCCATTCTCCCTCTTCCCATCACCCCGCCCCATTCTCCCGCTTTCCATCACCCCGCCCCATTCTCCCTCTTTCCATCACCCCGCCCCATTCTCCCGCTTTCCATCACCCCGCCCCATTCTCCCTCTTTCCATCACCCCGCTCCATTCTCCCGCTTTCCATCACCCCACCCAATTCTCCCTCTTTCCATCACCCCTCCTCATTCTCCCTCTTTCCATCACCCGCCCCATTCTCCCGCTTTCCATCACCTCGCCCCATTCTCCCGCTTTCCATCACCCCGCCCCATTCTTTTGCTTTCCATCACCCCGCTCCATTCTCCCGCTTTCCATCACCCCACCCAATTCTCCCTCTTTCCATCACCCCTCCTCATTCTCCCTCTTTCCATCACTCCGCCCCATGCTCCCGCTTTCCATCACCCCGCCCCATTCTCCTGCTTTCCATCACCCCGCCCCATTCTCCCTCCTTCCATCACTCCGCCTCATTCTCCCTCCTTCCATCACCCCCCCCCATTCTCCCGCTTTCCATCATCCCGCCCCATTCTCCCGCTTTCCATCACCCAGCCCCATTCTCCCACTCCCCATCACCCCGCCTTATTTTCCCGCTTTCTATCACCCCGCCCCATTCTCACGCTTTCCATCACCATGCCCCAATCTCCCGCTTTCCATCACCCCGCCCCATTCTCCCTCCTTCCATCACCCTGCCCCATTCTCCCGCTTTCCATCACCCCGCCCCATTCTCCCGCTTTCCATAACCCCGCCTCATTCTCCCTCCATCCTTCACCCGCCCCATTCTCCCTCCTTCCATCACCCCGCCCCATTCTCCCTCCTTCCATCACCCCGCCCCATTCTCCCGCTTTCCATCAGCCCACCCCATTCTCCCGCTTTCCATCACCCCGCCCCATTCTCCCGCTTTCCATCACCCCGCCCCATTCTCCCGCTTTCGATCACCCCGCCCCATTCTCCCGCTTTCCATCACCCCGCCCCATTCTCCCGCTTTCCATCACCCTGCCCCATTCTCCCGCTTTCCATCACCCCGCCCCATTCTCCCGCTTTCCATAACCCCGCCCCATTCTCCCGCTTTCCATCACCCTGCCCCATTCTCCCGCTTTCCATCACCACACCCCATTCTCCCTCCTTCCATCACCCCGCCCCATTCTCCCGCTTTCCATCACCCCGCCCCATTCTCCCTCCTTCCATCACCCCGCCTCATTCTACCTCCTTCCATCACCCCGCCCCATTCTCCCGCTTTCGATCACCCCGCCCCATTCTCCCGCTTTCCATCACCCCGCCCCATTCTCCCGCTTTCCATCACCATGCCCCAATCTCCCGCTTTCCATCACCCCGCCCCATTCTCCCTCCTTCCATCACCCTGCCCCATTCTCCCGCTTTCCATCACCCCGCCCCATTCTCCCGCTTTCCATAACCCCGCCTCATTCTCCCTCCATCCTTCACCCGCCCCATTCTCCCTCCTTCCATCACCCCGCCCCATTCTCCCTCCTTCCATCACCCCGCCCCATTCTCCCGCTTTCCATCACCCCGCCCCATTCTCCCGCTTTTCATCACCCGCCCCATTCTCCCACTTTCCATCACCCCGCCCCATTCTCCCGCATTCCATCACCCCGCCCCATTCTCCCTCCTTCCATCACCCCGCCCCATTCTCCCGCTTTCCATCAGCCCACCCCATTCACCCGCTTTCCATCACACCGCCCCATTCTCCCGCTTTCCATCACCCCGCCCCATTCTCCCGCTTTCCATCACCCCACCCCATTCTCCCATCACCCCGCCCCATTCTCCCGCTTTCCATCACCACGCCCCATTCTCCCGCTTTCCATCACCCCGCCCCATTCTCCCGCTTTCCATCACTACGCCCCATTCTCCCGCTTTCCATCACCCCGCCCCATTCTCCTGCTTTCCATCACCCCGCCCCATTCTTCTCCTTCCATCACCCCGCCTCATTCTACCTCCTTCCATCACCCCGCCCCATTCTCCCGCTTTCCATCACCCCGCCCCATTCTCTTGCTTTCCATCACCCCGCCCCATTCTCCTGCTTTCCATCACCACGCCCCATTCTCCCGCTTTCCATCACCCCGCCCCATTCTCCATCCTTCCATCACCCTGCCCCATTCTCCCGCTTTCCGTCACCCCGCCCCATTCTCCCGCTTTCCATAACCCCGCCCCATTCTCCCGCTTTCCATCACCCCGCCACATTCTCCCGCTTTCCATCACCCCGCCCAATTCTCCCTCTTTCTATCACCCCTCCCTATTCTCCCCTTTTCCACCCCCCCGCCCTATTCTCCCGCTTTCCATCACCCCGCCCCATTCTCCCTCTTTCCATCACCCTGCCCCATTCTCCCCCTTTCCATTACCCCGCCCCATTCTCCCGCTTTCCATCACCCCGCCCCATTCTCCCGCTTTCCATCACCCCGCCCCATTTTCCCTCTTTCCATTACCCCGCCCCATTCTCCCGCTTTCCATCACCCCGCCCCATTCTCCCTCTTTCTATCACCTTTCCCCATTCTCCCGCTTTCCATCACCCCGCCCAATTCTCCCTCTTTCTATCACCCCTCCCCATTCTCCCTCTTTCTATCACCCCGCCCCATTCTCAAGCTTTCCATCACCCCGCCCCATTTTCCCTCTTTCCATCACCCCGCCCCATTCTCCCTCTTTCCATCACCCCGCCACATTCTCCCGCTTTCCATCACCCCTCCCCATTCTCCCTCTTTCCATCACCCCGCCCCATTCTCCCACTTTCCGTCACCCCGCCCCATTCTCCCGCTTTCCATCACCCCGCTCCATTCTCCCTCTTTCCATCACCCCAACCCCATTCTCCCGCTTTCCATTACCCCGCCCCATTCTCCCTCTTTCCATCACCCCGCCCCATTCTCCCGCTTTCCATCACCCCGCCCCATTCTCCCGCTTTCCATCACCCCGCTCTATTCTCCCGCTTTCCATCACCCCGCCCAATTCTCCCTCTTTCCATCACCCCTCCCCATTCTACCTCTTTCCATCACCCCGCCCCCCATTCTCCCTCTTTCCATCACCCCGCCCCATTCTCCCGCTTTCCATCACCCCGCCCCATTCTCCCTCTTTCCATCACCCAGCCCCATTTTCCCTCTTTCCATCACCCCTCCCCATTCTACCTCTTTCCATCACCCCGCCCCCCATTCTCCCTCTTTCCATCACCCCGCCCCATTCTCCGGCTTTCCATCACCCCGCCCCATTCTCCCTCTTTCCATCACCCCGCCCCATTTTCCCTCTTTCCATCACCCCGCCCCATTCTCCCGCTTTCCAGCAACCCGCCCCATTTTCCCTCTTTCTATCACCCCTCCCCCTTCTCCCGCTTTCCATCACCCCGCCCAATTCTCCCTCTTTCTATCACCCCTCCCCATTCTCCCTCTTTCTATCACCCCGCCCCATTCTCCCGCTTTCCATCACCCCGCCCCATTTTCCCACTTTCCATCACCCCGCCCCATTCTCCCTCTTTCCATCACCCCGCCACATTCTCCCGCTTTCCATCACCCCTACCCATTCTCCCTCTTTCCATCACCCCGCCCCATTCTCCCAATTTCCGTCACCCCGCCCCATTCTCCCGCTTTCCATCACCTCGCCCCATTCTCCCTCTTTCCATCACCCCGCCCCATTCTCCCTCTTTCCATCACCCCGCCCCATTCTCTCGCTTTCCATCACCCCGCCCCATTCTCCCTCTTTCCATCACCCCGCCCCATTCTCCCTCTTTCCATCACCCCGCCCCATTCTCCCGCCTTCCATCGCCCAACCCCATTCTCCCTCTTTACATCACCCCGCCCCATTCTCCCGCTTTCTATCACCCCGCCCCATTCTCCCGCTTTCCATAACCCCGCCCCATTCTCCCTCTTTCCATCACCCCGCCCCATTCTCCCGCTTTCCATCACCCCGCCCCATTTTCCCTCTTTCCATCACCCCGCCTCAGTCTCCCGCTTTCCATCACCCCGCCCCATTCTCCCTCTTTCTATCACCTCTCCCTATTCTCCCGCTTTCCATCACCCCACCCAATTCTCCCTCTTTCTATCACCCCTCCCCATTCTCCCTTTTTCCATCCCCCCGCCCCATTCTCTCGCTTTCCATCACCCCGCCCCATTCTCCCGCTTTCCATGAGCCCGCCCCATTCTCCCGCTTTCCATCATCGCGCCCCAGTCTCCCGCTTTCTATCACCCCGCCCCATTTTCCCTCTTTCCATCACCCCGCCCCATTCTCCCTCTTTCCATCACCCCGCCACATTCTCCCGCCTTCCATCACCCCTCCCCATTCTCCCTCTTTCCATCACCCCGCCCCATTCTCCCACTTTCCGTCACCCCGCCCCATTCTCCCGCTTTCCATCACCCCGCTCCATTCTCCCTCTTTCCGTCACCCCGCCCCATTCTCCCGCTTTCCATCACCCCGCCCCATTCTCCCTCTTTCCATCACCCCGCCCCATTCTCCCGCTTTCCATCACCCCGCTCCTTTCTCCCGCTTTCCATCACCCCGCCCAATTCTCCCTCTTTCCATCACCCCTCCCCATTCTCCCTCTTTCCATCACCCCGCCCAATTCTCCCTCTTTCCATCACCCCGCCCCATTCTCCCTCTTTCCATCACCCCGCCCCATTCTCCCGCTTTGCATCATACCTCCCCATTCTCCCGCTTTCCATCACCCCTCCCAATTCTCCCGCTTTCCATCACCCCTCCCCATTCTCCCTCTTTCCATCACCCCACCCCATTCTCCCGCTTTCCATCACCCCGCCCCATTCTCCCTCATTCCATCAGCCCGCCCCATTCTCCCGCTTTCCATCACCCCGCCCTATTCTCCCGCTTTCCATCACCCCGCCCCATTCTCCCGCTTTCTATCACCCCGCCCCATTCTCCCGCTTTCCATCACCCCGCCCCATTCTCCCTCTTTCCATCACCCGGCCCCGTTCTCCCGCTTTCCATCACCCCGCCCCGTTCTCCCGCTTTCCATCACCCCGCCCCATTCTCCCCCTTTCCATCACCCCGCCACATTCTCCCGCTTTCCATCACTCCGCCCCATTCTCCCTCTTTCCATCACCCCGCCCCGTTCTCCCGCTTTCCATCACCCCGCCCCGTTCTCCCGCTTTCCATCACCCTACCCCATTCTCCCGATTTCCATCACCCTTCCCCATTCTCCCGCTTTCCATCACCCCGCCCCATTCTCCCTCTTTCCATCAGCCCGCCCCATTCTCCCTTTTTCCATCACCCCGCCCCATTCTCTTGCTTTCCATCACCCCGCCCTATTCTCCCGCTTTCCATCACCCCGCCCCATTCTCCCTTTTTCCATCACCCTGCCCTATTCTCCCTCTATCCATCACCTCGCCCAATTCTCCCGCTTTCCATCACCGCGCCCCATTCTCCCTCTTTCCATCACCCCGCCCCATTCTCCCGCTTTCCGTGACCCCGCCCCATTCTCCCGCTTTCCATCACCTTGTCCCTTTCTCCCGCTTTCCATCACCCTGCCCAATTCTCCCTCTTTCCATCACCCCTCCCCATTCTCCCTCTTTCCATCACCCTGCCCCATTCTCCCGCTTTCCATCACCCCGCCCCATTCTCCCTCTTTCCATCAGCCCGCCCCATTCTCCCGCTTTCCATCACCCCGCCCCATTCTCCCTCTTTCCATCACCCCGCCCCATTCTCCCTCTTTCCATCACCCTGCCCCATTCTCCCGCTTTCTATCACCCCGCCCCATTCTGCCTCTTTCCATCACCCCGCCCCATTCTCCCACTTTCCATGACCCCGCCCAATTCTCCCGCTTTCCATCACCCCACTCCATTCTCCCGCTTTCCATCACCCCGCCCAATTCTCCCTCTTTCCATCACCCCTCACCATTCTCCCTCTTTCCATCACCCCGCCCCATTCTACCTCTTTCCATCACCCACCCCATTCTCCCGCTTGCCATCACCCCGCCCCATTCTCCCGCTTTCCTTCACCCCGCCCCATTCTCCCTCTTTTCATCACCCTGCCCCATTCTCCCTCTATCCATCATCCCGCCCAATTCTCCCGGTTTCCATCACCGCGTCCCATTCTCCCGCTTT